ATCTTTACATGGCTTTATTTTAAACTATTTCATTTATTTTTACTTTTAATTTTTGGCTTTTTTGATAGTAAGTTTCTCTGTGTATTTTGGTTGTTCTGGCACCACTCACTCTGTAGACCAGGTTGTCCTTGAACTCACAGAGATCTGCCTGCCTCTGCCTCCCAAGTGTTGGAATTAAAGGGGTGTACTGCCACACCCAACTACTCCCATTCTTTGTTTTGAGGACTTTATCCTTTTTCTTTTGTCTCACAAGCCTACATATATTTTTAAATACACTGTAGACCATTTAGAGGTTTTCTTCATCTGAATCTGTCTTTACTGTATATTCCTCTTTTTCTGACCACATGAGTCTTTAATTTGCTAAATGATATGGCTAGGATTAAAGCAGTGGCTTTGATGGCTGGATCCAGCCCATTACTTAGCTTTCTGAGAGTTCAGCCTCATGGCAGAATATTGTCTGGAACCATGTTTGTTGCCACAACTCTATGGCATTTTAAGGCCCCTACCACCAGTAAGAAGTTACTTATAAACACCATTTAAGTGTTTGGTGGTGGGGCCTCTTAAAAAAGCTCCAAAGATTTTGCTTCTAAAGCTTAGTCAGGAAGCCTCTCTTAAATGAGGCATACTTGCCTCTAACAAACAGAGCCCACCTGAGAAAATGCTGTCAAGAAGCCATGCTTAACTCTGTTCCTTTTTGTCTAGAATTATTTCCCAAGCTCTCTCCGGCTTTATGTGGATGCAGTTACCCCACGTTGGGTGCCGTTTGTTGATAGCGGTTTCTGTCCTGCCCAGTCCTGCAGCTGTTTAGTTCCAAATAAACACACAGAGGTCTACATTAATTATAAACTGATTGACCTATTAGCTCAGGGTTCTTATAATTCTTATAACCTATTTTAGCCCATAATTCTTGTCTGTGTTAGCCACATGGCTTGGTACCTTTTTCGGTGAGGTGGTCATATCTTGCTTGCTCTGTGTCTGGCTTCCTTTGTGTCTGGGTGACAACTGCAGACTGACTCTCTTCCTAGAATTATCTTTTTCTCATTGTCCCACCTCTACTTCCTACCTGGTTGCCCCACCACTACTTCCCGCCTGACTACTGGCCAATCAGCATTTCATTAGACAAGTACAAGAAACAAATCTTTACAGGGTGATATCATTGTCCCACAACAGAATGTCACAACTGTGGCACATCCATGTGTGCTCACAAAGATTAAGAGATTTACTCTGTTGTCTTCTATAGGAAAAGTTTGGTGAACTCTGACCTAAGCCATTGAACTTGGTTGCTTCTGGCAAAGCTATTAACCTATTTGTTTTCAGTTTTAAAAGGAATAACAAACAATAAGATTCTATTATGTTAAAATTGGTAAGTCCAAAGCAATCAGCTCATAAATTGTTAGACAGAAGTACAGGGGTGTCATTTTCTAATGCTAATGTGCAAAATTCAGATGATTTCCAATCTATGAATTGTGACTCTGGAGAGTGTAATGGTGTCATAGATCCATCCCACTCTTGAGAGCAAACGTAAATGTCTAAGATATGTGTAAAAGAAAATTAAGGACTTAAACGAAGGAAATTTTAAATTATATTTCATGAAATTTTAGAAGATTGAGTAAACTTATTTGTTTTCTAAAGTGAGAGCATTTAAAAAGATATTTTATATAATTTGTAAAACTAAATAGCCTAATCAAAGGACCTAGGGGATTGTATCCTTTGTGAATTTTATAGTATGAAATTTGTAGTAGAAAATCTGACTGAAATATCAATAATTTAGATGAAAGTACCTTTATGACCTCAGCATATAAGCTGAAGCTATGTCTTGATCTTCCACGGCAAATTTAGATAGCAAACAACTAAAATCTTTTAATAAAGTTCTATTTAAGCAAAGGGGTGCTTCTGGGCTGGAAAAGGCATAACTCTGGAGAAAGAAATGGGACACATGACAATACCTAAATCTCATTCCTCTCAGACAGGGGCAGGACAGGTGACTTGATCTTCTGTATCTGAGTACATCATGCTGGTAGATCAGTAAATAAGTGACATAGCCACTAGTTCTTAACATTTAGAGAATGCCATTGTCCTAAGAGTAAACATGCATAGTAAGTCCAGGAAAAGTGACTTAGACTACAGAAAGGAAAACCTGAAGAGGGCCTTATTGCTCTGAGGAATGGAAGAGGGATGTGATGCCACCAAATAATAAGCAGGCTTATGAAACAAATACAGAAAAGTGTTAAACTGGTCAATTAAAGCAAAATATACCTCTATAATGTCAAACATGTCACTGCTGAGAACAACTAAGTGTATTAGAAGCTATATGTGAGGAAACTGTCTAGAATATGACATAATGTAATAGAAATGGAATCTATAAGAAAACATAAGAAACATGAAGAACATTGTCAGCAGTTCGACTGTCTGTCTGATAAACTTCCAAAAAGCTAAGTTTTGAACTCAGGAAAGACCTGAGTTGTATATGAACAGAAGGTTCCAGGTGAAAATAGAAGGTAGATTTGCTACATTTGAAGCACTAATGGCCCGGAATTGTCATATACTGAAGATATCATTCCTTAATATGAAAAGATTCTTATTTCCATGAAAGAATTTTAATACAAGTAAATGTGTAGGTGTGATGGTTAATATTGATTGTCAACTTGACGGGATCTAGAATTACCTAGGATCCAAGTATCTTGGCCTGTCTGTGAGTGGGTTTCTGTATCAGGTTAGCTGAGATGGGAGGTCTCCCCTGACTAGGTGACACAATTCCATGGGCTGAAGTCCGGGACCGAGGATGTGCTGTAGATGTGATGTGACCAGACAGACCTCAGGCACCTGTCACCATGACTTCCCCCATACTTGACTGTGCACAGGATCTGTGAGCCAGAATACATAGACCCTTCCTTAATGCTCTAGTCAGCTGTTCTGTCACAGCAGTGAGAAGAGTCACCACGTGGCGTGTGACTTTTAATTAAGAATTAAAATAGCCGGGTGGTGGTCGTGCATGCCTTTAATCCCAGCACTCGGGAGACAGAAGCAGGTGGATCTCTGTGGGTCTGAGGCCAGGCTGGTCCACTAGAGCTAGTTCCAGGCTCCAAAGCTACAGAGAAACCTTGCCTCGAAAAACATAGATAGATAGATAGATAGATAGATAGATAGATAGATAGATAGATAGATAGATAGATAGATAGACAGACAGACAGACAGACAGACAGACAGACAGACATAGGTGTATGTAGCACAGTAAATTTCACAATAGCTTAAAGAAGTTTAAAATGTATTAAGGACATAAGTTTCATATCAAATACTCTGCAGAAATGACTATCATTATTTGACAGTTTAACAGCTGTGTATGAAAGACAAGTGGTCTGAGAAATCAATTTGAATCTGAAATTAAGTATTTAGTCTTTTCATCATCTAAGAGTGAAGGTAAAATGCTTTGTCAAATATATGGGAACTCAAAGCAGCAGAAACACTATTGACATTTAAATGATATCATCCCATGTGTTTGTTGCAGGACACTTTGTCTGGTCCAGGTCTTCATTTAACGCAAACTAATTCTCTCTGGTGGTGATGTTGACCACTAGAGGGAACCAGTAGAAAAAGAAACTTGATTTTTTTAGACTCTGCATTCATTTTTACATTAAAACAATTTCAACAATGACATGACAACCAGACACAAAATAGAGAATAATTCTTTCCCAAATCTGGGGAAAGAATTGACAGTTTTCACAGCATACAAAATTTCTCAAGAAGAAAAGTAAAAACTGCTTTAAAAATATGGTTACATAAGGAGATCTGACTATACCATGAAAAATAATTCCTGGAACTTAAAAACATACATTTGAATTCAAAATACAGAGAAGAAAAGGGGACAAGTGTTAGTGGTTGTGCTAAGATGGTTGGTGCAAAGACGTCACGTTCAGGACATATCTTCTGCTGATAAACCTTACAGAGAGATAGCCTGTTTGTTGATAGCATAGCTAAAGGTGAATAGAAACATGGACTTCGGGTCAAAATGTGGGATTCTTCAATCTGAACTTCTTCACATATAAATCGGATAATGTGGTGACTCCGAATCACTGGACCCAGAATGTCAGATCCCTCTTGAGACAGATTATTTCATATTCCACTCACATACAGCGGATTGAATGATGCTAGATTCCTTTGAGTGGGCCCAGAAACTAACTTCTAGGAGTAGAGCAATTGAATCTAACTTGAGGAAGTGATAGTTATAGGGAAACCACTAATCTCTCCCAGAGAGTTCTCAAGAAAAAGTTGACAAATTAAATGGTTTGATCTCTTTCTAGATTGTCGTAAGTCCTAGCTCAGAATAAAATTCAATCCTAAACTAAAATAGAGTGATAATAGCTCACATTAAAACATGAGGAGATCCAATGAGATCACTGGATTCCCAGTATACACAGAATAGACACTCTGATTAAATTATGAAGTAGGATGTAAAGTAACTACTCATGTTAGAAGGCAGGAATTACTTAAAGATGTGTGCACACTTATTTAGTAAACAGTATGGTGTAAGTATTCAGTACTTTTACTTATTTACTGCAAGACTGGATCTCTTAATTTCAAAATATTTTACATACAGTGAGTATATTTTGATCATATTATTTTCCCCTCTTCTCTCTCCTCCCAAATCATCTCGACACAGCTTCATGTTTTATTCTCTCTCTGTCTCTCTACTTCTCTAATAAAACAAAACAATACAAAAGGTTAAAACAAACATAGTCAATAAGACAAAATACCAAAATAAAACAAAAATCACACATAAAAAGTGGAGTTGAATTTGTCTTGACCAGCCTGCCCTGGAGTATGGTTGATATATCTATTATTACACCCAATTATGTTTTTAAAAATCATTTGCTGTACTAAAGGCTCTTATTTCCTTCTCTATTCAAACATTATTGATGACTTGGTGTGTGCATATGTCTATGAAGTTGAATGGCTGCTAATGGTAACATAAATACAAATGTTTCTTCCTTCTTCCTCCATAGGCGACTTATGACTCCAATCATGTATGCTGCCCGAGATGGTCACACTCAGGTTGTTGCTCTGCTTGTTGCTCATGGAGCAGAAGTTAATGCCCAGGATGAGAATGGTTATACTGTGAGAAATGCTTTTCCAAGTTGACTCTTTTTTTTCTGAGACATTGATACTTTGCTATTATATCAATAACCTACACAAATGACTAGTTTATTTAGTTGATGTTTACTGTCAATGAGTTAAGGAAAGTTGTAAGAAGCCTGAGCTATAGTCACTGCTAGATGAAAATACTCTTGAGAGCAACATCTTAGAGAAAGGGAGAATTAATTAATACTTAATAAAAGAAGTTATCACACACAAGAAAAACCAGGGCTCTAGAAAACTCTCATGAATTCCTTCACAGAAAACATCTGTAATAGCAGATAAGTTCTTTATTCCATGACTTTACTTAACTGCGTAAAAAGTGTTTGGTTTGTACAATCAGTGAGTACAGCTGGGAATATGTTTATATTTTGTAATGCGGAAATTGCATCATTCTGCTAATTAACCACTCTCTCTCTCTCTCTCTCTCTCTCTCTCTCTCTCTCTCTCTCTCTCTCTCTCTCTCTCTCTCCCTCCCTCCCTCCCTCCCTCCCTCCCTCTCACTGAGCCATAAATATCGGTGAAAATATTTCCTATCTGTCTCACATGTGCTGCTTTTTAAACAGTCCTCTTTCCCACACTTACAGGCCTTAACGTGGGCAGCACGTCAGGGTCATAAAAATGTAATTCTGAAGTTGCTTGAACTTGGAGCTAATAAAATGATACAGACTAAAGATGGCAGGACACCAAGTGAGATTGCAAAAAGAAATAAACATCTTGAGGTATTCACCTGTGTACTTTATGTGTTGTTATATTGTGTAGAATTTTTGTATTATTTATCACAGTTCCTAAGTATAATAATAACATACAATTATTAAATACTTGAATAGGCTTTCTTCTTGAAGCTGGTAATGAAAGCTTTATTTTGCTATAATAGTCATCCTTTAAATGAAAACATTGATATTACATTTAATATCATTTAAGTGATATGAGTAGACAGAGAACTCTTATACTGCCCCTATAAGTAACACTGTAACAGGCATAGACTACTTTGGGGTTTGTATATGTGTCGTCAATCAGATTACTTCACTCCAGCCTAACCGTGTGTTTCAAGGACTGCCTTAGCATTTAATTTATAAATAATTTGTCTAAAATGCTTCATATCATCTTGAAAATATTAATCACTATCCTTGATCTTTAGATTTTGGAATTGGTGTGCTTTTATTATTATTTTAGGTTAAGGAAGCATTTACTTGATTTTACAAAAGGTTTCCTCACAATACAGAGTTATTAAAACTCTGAACTACTCACTTTTTTAGCATTTTCTTTCTATATAGAAAAAAATAATATGTTCACATTTCTTTTTAGTGTGAAGGATAATAATAATAATACTATATTTGAATGGCTTGGGATTTTTTTCAGATCTACAACTTTCTTTCTTTGACTCTAAATCCATTGGAAGGGAAACTTCAGCAGCTAACCAAAGAAGAGACTATTTGTAAACTGTTGGCCACAGATTCTGATAAAGAAAAGGATCACATATTTAGGTAACATGTTTGAGTTCAGCAGAATATATATAAAATGTATATTTTATTACTCATAGTAAATTTGGTAAGTTATCTAAGATATATTAAACTTTTATAAGCATTTTAAAATGCCACTTAGAAATGTCTGAGTTTTAGATGCTTTGTTCTCCAGAATTTTAGAAGAATTTTATTTAGTTATTTACTTATTTAACTAACTGAACTTAATACATATTTTTAGTAAAATATCAAATTTTACTTTCAAGAGACTAAAGATTATATTCACGCTTGTTTATGCTAGATCTTATTTTCTGGTTATTTCTATCATCTCTGGTTTTATAAGCTAATCCGTTTGTTCAGCACATGGCTACAAACCATTCTCTAGTTACTACATTTATAGTCACCTTCTAATTTATTGCATTGGAAAGACATAACAAATACATACTGGTGACTATTTTAAATCTTAGGAAAGCTGAGATGAATATTATCCCCCATGTTTTCCCTTTCTTTAGTTAAGAAACTTTGGGGTTGGGGATGTGGTTCACTGCTAAGATTATTTGAAGCCATGAGTTTAACTTTTCAGCTTTAAAAGGGAAGGGAAGAAAGGGATAAAAAGTAGGGGAAGTGGGAGTCAAGGGGACAACGAAAGAACCTGGTTTATTCCTTTAATGCAGCATTTAAATGTGCTGTGTAAACTTACAAATATATCCTGCCTGGGTTCATTCTTGCCCATTCCATGCTTACTGTTAATAGACATGCACATATGTGTATGTATAGTTTATTCTGAAACTGACCTTGCTATGATCTGTTATAGTCCATATACAGCGTTTGGAGATCTGGAAATATTTTTACATGGACTTGGACTTGAGCATATGACAGACTTATTAAAGGTAGGATTTCATGGAAAGCTGAGTACATTTTATGTTTGTGGTTATATTAGAATAAAATTAAATTTTAGTTCATAAGAATGCCATTTATTTCTTCTTCATTTGTAGAGTACCCTAGTTTTAAATTTATGATAAGCACATCCAAAAATTATTAACTTAGGAATTTATATAAATTAGAATCTTTCTGGATTTCACAACATCTGTCTGATACATCTGTACACATTTAAGCCCTATGTTTACAGCTATTGCTTGTCTTGTGTGGAATGCTGGAAGCATGATTTTGAACCAGACAATCCTGTATTAGATATTTTCTCTGGTTATTAACTAGAATATACTACTTAAATATCATTTTTTCCTTAAGGACAACTATAGGCTTTCATGAAGATTAAGTTAAGTCACACACCAGGAACTATGTAGCAGGATTTGAGTAGATGACAATTGTTACCAGGTAGATAAGGATGCTGAAGCAAAGGACCGTTAAGGATTATAAACATTAGTTCCAGTACTTCTGAGTTTGATTCATTGTACAATGCTGAAACTTCTATCCGAGGACATCTTGGGTCAGAAATCATATTATTGATAGTTTGGTCTGATGCCATGTGAAATTTAGCTACTTATAAAATACAGTTTCTGTCACATTTCCAGAATGTTTTCTTTTTTCTAAGCAGATATGAGTGCTAGCCATTTTCTTTGATTCTGGGAAACTAGATACTGAGTGCTTCTGTGCGTATATACTATCTAGCCAGTGATGTAGCTCGTGAGCTACGTACCCTCTGAAAAACTTGAGAAAGCAGTTAAGGGGCAGCTTCTGTTTCCTTTCCTGCTTTGCTTTGAATTGTTTACACTGAATGGTGGGATTTTTACCTTCTGTGCAGGAAAGGGATATAACTTTAAGACACCTTCTGACCATGAAGAAAGACGAGCTTACAAAGGTAAGAATCACTTACAATGCCAGATATATTCGTTGGCTTTTTAAACTTGCACATTCTTTTATTTTCTATTTTAAAAATTTTAGGGCTGTGTAGACTGATCTTTTGCAGATTCTTGGTTAGAAACAACAGTGGATTGCCATGTGCAAATTGTACTGTAATATTAAGTTGTTTAAAGAACATTACAGACTTTTAGCATCAGGCTTTGTAGGATTGCTGTATCTCAACGAGAACTACTACTCACTTTCAGATGGACAGTGGATCTGTAAAGCGGGCTGCCTAGAAGGAAGAGGTGATTTTTAATGTGGGCATACACACATTTATCTTCCAAATCAGCAACAATTATGTTACCATCCATTATTAATAAATTCAAAATAGGTGTGTGACGTTTTGGAGGTACTTTGATAAGGAGGCTATTTTAAAGTAACGATCTTACTGTAATACCACATTGGTTACTTGAAATCGCTATCACTAAAAGCCAAAATAACATGCTATGTAATTAAATCTAGGAAAGAAGTTTACTTTAATATTGAAGGTAAAATACAGGTTAAAAAGTTAAATCTCTCTTATTACTATTAACATCCTAAATATTTTGAAGGAAAAACTGTTTGATATGTATTTTGGAATGATAATATTTTAAGTTCGAATAATGTGACTTTTGAATCCATCAAAGTTACCATTATACACTGCAAACAATGACTATAGTCAACTATATACCCAAACTATTTATGATACAACTTTGTTGAAGTATAAGCAAATAATATGTTTAAGAGTATTACTTCCAGTATTTGTCTATTTTGAAAGATATGAATTAATCTAGAAAATGGCATTAGTGGTCTTGGATATAAAATTATTCAAATGTAACTATCTTATTAAACCTTTCAATTATTTCTCCTTAGAATGGAATTACCAGTAAAGATCAGCAAAAAATTCTGGCTGCTCTCAAGGAACTAGAAGTAGAAGAGATAAATTTTGGAAAATTACCTGAAGTGGCAAAGCTAGAAATTAGGTAAAATTATCAGTTTATGCTAATATCATTTACAATAAAGTATTCTTTTTAGTTTAATGCCTAAGTATTTAATTTGTCGCTTCCATTTTCCCAGGAAAATAGGTTTTTAGATACACAGTAGTGTATTACTTAGAACCAAATGCACTTTATAAAGTTAATTTCCCATAGAACTATTTTACAAAGAAGCGAAACAGTCTTATAATTTTTATGTCTTTTATTGCAGCTTGCTAAATCACACCATATAAAAGATACCATATTTTTGTTAGCATAATTCTCATTCTCTTTAAATGATGTTAGGTGCCAAACTGAAAATTATGGAGCTGGAATCATTGTTCAGTTGTTAAAGTGATTGCCATGAAAACATGAGAACCTGAATTCAGTCCCTAAATCTTTCTAAAACAAGGCAGGACGCTCAGTACTGGGGAGGCAGAGCCAGGCAGATCCTTGGAGCTCTCTGGCACAGCCTCCTCAGTGAGTCCCAGGCCAGCAAGACACTGTCTTAAAGAAAAAAAGTAAGATGAACAGAATGTAAAGGAACAGTACCTGAGGCTGTCCTCTGACTGCCATATTAAGCACATGTATACACACTCATGCACGCACATGAGCTCACACACGGATACTCTTTCAAGAAAAAAGAAAAATGGTAATATTTTCACAACGGCCATAAAGAAACCATTTCTCTTGAGTTTATCTCCATTTCAAGCTTTACTGTGTAAGGATGACATCTAAATTTGTGAGGCTATTACTCTAATTTCTCTATGGTGTCTTGTCTTTGGGGTGACCGCATTACAAGATCATTAGGGAATTAGTAGTCTTGTCTGCTTTCCGGACAAGGTTGTGGAGACTAGTGCTATTTTTCTCCAAAGGTTTATGTAGATTTCTCTCTTGAAACTGCTTGGCCTGGGGTTTCCTTAGGGTATGCTTTTCATCACAATTGTATCTTCTTTAGTAGTTACAAACTATTGAAGCTGTAGCTGTTTTATTTTAGCTTTATTTTAGTTGTTTGTTGTATTTAAGTTCATTACTCACTAGGTGGTTGAATCACAGGCATACAGGGTTGCTGATATTCCTTGCTATCCTTTTGATTACAACATTATAACATCTCATTTCATTACCAATATTGATGTTATCCTTGCTTATTTTCATCTCTTTTAGTCTTGCTAGAGTTTTATTAATTTTTAGGTACATGCTCCTTTTTAACTTAATGTTTATTTTTGTGTCTGTGTGGGGATGGGATTTGTGCATGAGACCGTATGCATGTGGGAACACAGGACAATATATGGGATTTAGTTTTCTCCTATCCCCATGTGAGTCTTAGAGCCTGAGCTCAGGTCATCAGGCGTGGCTGGTGCTTTACCCACTGAGCCATCTCACCAGCCCATAGAGCCTTTCTTTTGTTTTATTACTGCTTTTAATATCATTGGTTTGTGCTGTTACCCTTATTGTTTTCTTACTTCTGCCTGCTTTGAATTTTGGATGTTGAATATATATGCTTTGAATTTTTATCTGTTCATAAGATAGAATATTTCTATTTTTCCTTCCCTCCCTTTCTTCCTACTTTTGTGACAGGATCTTCTATAAACCTAGACAGGCCTAAAACACTCAATCTTCCTGCCTTAACTTCCCAAGTATAGGATCACAGGTGCACACCACCTTGTTTGGCATTCCTTCTCGTTATATAAGCATGTGGGTGGCCATTTGTATTTTCCTCTCAATATGGATGTAATTGAAAGACACAAAAATCTTAATACATTAAATGGTCATTTTCATAGACCTCTATGTGTTGTCATTTTCCAGCAAGGCTTCGTCTTTATTCACATATTGTTTAAATGCATGTCCTTTAATTTGCATATGCTTAGAAACCTTCCTGTTATCTTCTGGTTTGATTTAGCTCAGTTACTTTGTGACAGCTACAAAGAACAGGTAGAATTTAAACATAGACTAGAAAAGCTGAAAGGCTTCTGCCTTTTAAATTATGATTGATTACCTTGTGCATTTTGCAAATATTTTTATTTGTCAGTATTACCTGTATTTAAAATAAAACACATAGATTTTTGAAATCCTAAATAACACGCAATTTTTGTTTTTCTTCCAACAGCATGGTAATGTTGAACACGTGTTTAGCAACACCAGCAGATAGCTAACCTTTGTGTTCTATAAAAAAAATACTTACAAATGCCTTGTTGTCATTAGTTATGTAACTATTAGTCAAATAGATTTCTGTATTGTTTTAGAATTAGAGAATTCTTCCAAGAACCTATTTTTATGATCCTGCTGTCTTAAAGCCTATTAAAGAGGTCACAGTATAAATACTCTTTTCTCATTGTTTTGTCTCTTTTTTCCTCCATGTAACAGGAAGGCCTTAAGTATTTGATGTTACCATTTCTAGATAATATTATAGCTCCTAAATATTTAAATGCATTGTAGAGGATCTCAGTAGTGAGCTTTTTAAAATCAGTAACCCTTCTCAAATGTATTTATTGTTCCATCCTTGTTTCTAATAGACATAATTCCAGGTCCTAGGTGACTAACTTGTAGATTGCAACCACTAATGTCACTTATTTTAATGATGGCAGAGTTGCCTATATGAATGTATTTGTAGCCTTTAATAGACCTAAAGAGGGTAGAATCATGAATAGCTCACTTATTAAAACTGATGAATTTTTTAAAAAATAAAAATGTCAGGCACATATTCCAGGAATTTGACCTTGTTATTAAATCATAGACTGTGTTTACATGATTTTAAAGACAAGGTTTTGCTTTCCATTTGTTTAAAGCCATCCTTTAAAGAAGAAATTAGTCATTAAGTCATAAGAAAACTAACAGCAGGAAAAGTTGAATTGATTGATTGTAATCACCTGATAATTTTATTTCAACAATTAAACCACTGATTTATTTTAACATACTTTTTGTGTGTGTGTGTCAAATATCTAAAGTAATCTGTTACAAGAATGCACGTATACTGTTCATTTACTTTTTTATGCCTTGGCATGTTTGCAGAGTTTAAATTTTAAATTTAAGTATTAGTTTTGAACAAACTAACCAGCATTCACAGTCTCTCCTCAGACATTTTCTTTGAGCTCTGAGCTACCTAAAATCCACTTGAATGTGTCAAAAGTATCTCAATATAAGTCCATCAAGAAGCTACTCCATCTCAAAAATCTATAAGGTCCAATATTTTTTGTAGAATATGTAGTTCACGCCTTTTATTTCTAAACATTCCAAAATTGAAATTTCTATGTAATTAACAGCAGAGAAATGGTTGGCTTAGATTGTAGAAACATGATTTTTTCCATTATTAACATTATTTTGAAACTTAATGTCATGGAAAAATATTCATGGTATGTTAAAGGCACAATGTAAACTTGCATATTAAATATTATATTAGTTTTAGAAATCCATAAAAGAAATACTGGAAAAACTATAAGGAAATATCTTGGCAGAAAATAATACTACTTATTATCTTTGGATGGTATGATTTTTTTTCAGTTATTTTACAGTGAGTATATAGTACTTTTATTTATAATGTTTTAACCATAGATATTAAATTTTATCTTAATACTAGACTTCAGATTTGTTGTTGTTGTTGTTGTTCTGAGACAGGGTTTCTCTGTGTAGCTTTGGTGAACTAGCTCTTATAGACCAGGCTGGCCTAAACTCAAAGAGATCCGCCTTCCTCTGCCTCTCGTGTTTTGGGATTAAATGCATGAGCCACCACCGCCCAGCTTTAGACTTCAAATTTTTGATATGGCCTAATCTGCTTATAAATGTTAAACATCAGTCACAGTGAAGTTCAGTTCTTGATTTATCCTTGTCACTGCCCCTCTTCCTTGTTACTCTGAGATCAGGCTAGAACTGCTCCAATCTGGGGCATGCTCCTCCATGACAAGAGATGAGATATGACATAGCCAACTAGCAGAACTAGTCAATGGCTCTGTAAACTCAGAGGAATAAAAAGTTTGCTGTAAAATCATGTTTTCTGGGAAGGTCAGAAGCTAATACTTAGGAAGTCTCGCAAACTGCATAAACATGAGCTTAATAAAGATTATAGCAATAGACATGCTAATGTGAATGGGGAAAGGTTAATGAGGAGTCAAACTACACAAAGAACTACAGACAACTAGAAATGCTCAGAGTAGGAGATAGAGTCTTCCCTGGGGAAGAGCATACCAAGGTTATCCAGTACAGAACATATAGATACACACAACGTTATGCAGACTGAGCAGGTTGTTTATATGTACTTAGAAGTATATGTATACACACAAACACACACACACACACACACATATATATATATATATATATATATATAAAACAACAGTTAATGAAAAAAGAGGGCATAAATTTGAAAGGAGCAAGGAGAGGGTTTAGAGGAGAAAAGGGAAGAGGAAGTGATGTAATTATAATCTCAAAAAAAAGTTGCAGTCTTATTTTATGTGCCAAAGTAGGTCACACTGTCAATCCTTGTGTTACTGGGACAAAGTATAATCCTCTGAAAAGGAAAATATAGTTTTCTCTAGTTCACCCCCCCACACACACACACACATTTGATCAAATAATTCACCTTACGTTTGTCATATCTGCTTATTTAGAATCCCTTAAATGCAGACAAATTGTTAGGGCTACATGCAATATTCTATAGACTGTGTATTATGCAGCAGTGGTAGAAGATACCGTACACATGCTATATGACACGATTGGTACTCTCTAGAGCTGTGATTTATGTAGCTTGCCCATTACTGTTCAGTGGTCCAAATAGTTATATGTCAGAAGAAAGACTACTATTTTCTTCTCATCTTAGTGTGATAAGGCACTGTGGTGCTTTAAGTAGAAGCATAGGATCATTTATTTGAATGCTGAATCACCAGGGAGTAGAACTGATTGAAAGGATTAGAAGTGTGTTACTTGGGGGCCAAGTCTCTCCCTCTCCTTCTCCATTTACCTCTATCTCTCTCTCGCTCTCTCTCTCTCTTTCTGCCTGTGGATCAGGATGTGAACTCTGCTATCTCTCCAGTACCACATATGCCTGTGTGCCACCATGTTCCCTGCCATGATAATGGACTGACTTCTGAAACTGTAAGCAAGTGCCCAGTTATGCTGTCTTTTATAAAAAGTTACCTTGGTCATAGTGTCTCTTCACAGCAATAGAACACTGACTAAGACAGACACCATAACCAAAGCAACTTCTAAAAGAAAGTGTTAAGTTTGGGCTTATGACTTCAAAAGGTTAGAGTCCCTCAAAGCAGAATGAAGGCATGAAGGTAGCAACAGCTGAGAGCTTACATCCTGATCCTTGATCAAGAGGAAGAGACAGAAAGAGATAAGAGGAATGGCACTAGTCTTTTGAAACCTCAAAGCCTGTTTCCAGTGGTACTCCTCCAACAAAGCCACATCTCCTAACCCTTCCCAAATAGTTCTATCAACTGGGGACCAAGTATTCAAGTATGTGAGCATTTGGGAGCCATTCTTATGTAAACCACCACATTAAATAAAGCTGTACTTTTGCAAGTGTGTTTTTAACTGAGTTCCTTACTGTCTTCAGAATAAGTGCTTGTGAGTTTCTATTTCACATGTATTTATGGATAAACTGTCTATAATTTTATACCTGCTATCATTTGATGTTTTCATTGCTAATTCTCAATAGATTTCTAACGTCCTTGAACTCGTTACATTAAATACATATGGTATTAATGAATCACCTATTGAGTACTTAGTGTTTTTATTGTAGCAAACAAAATTCAAATATCAGAAGAGCATTAACTCTAAATGTATACAGTATGCATGTACATATATATACAGTATATGTGTGTATAATGTGTACAAACAGTACATAAACACAAAGCAACATGAATAATACTTGATGCTCTGAATTCTCTTCTGTTCTTTCTAAAGTAAAAATCAGGACATGTAATAAAGAAAAATAATATGAATTTTAAGAATGCTTTTATAAATACTGTTTTTGTTTCTAAATAAAGTAGTAAGACCTTTATTTATTTTCACTTTGGTTTTGAAAGGAATCAAACAGGTGGGGTGGAGCAAGCCTATATAACCCCTATGCTTGTGAGGTAGACACAGGAGAATCAGAAACTCCATGCATCCACAGCTACATAGTGGATTACAGGACAGCCTAGGCTATATGAGACCAAACACAAAAGAGAGAGGAAGCAGCCATGTAGTCAGTGCCTAGATAGATAGTCTATACTCTGTTTTGTTTTCCAGTCTAATAGCTAACAGGCTTCCTTTAAATGAAAATGCTGTATGCATCCTAGTAAGGTACTGTAGGGAATAGTTTCTTTGGAAGTCGACACTGTTTCTTTAAAGACTTTTATCCTAGTGTGTAAAACTGTATAGTATTTGGCCAGAGACACATGTAAGAATGTTGTTTGGAGGTAAAAGTAGTATTGGTTCCATAGTTGAGGATTGTTTTATGTTTTCTATTTTAGTAGATATTATTGGCATACTGTACAGTTTTTTCCCCAGTTTTCTAAATTGTAGTAGCATTTTATGGTAACGTGTTCCCATTTTATCCATTTAAATTTGTCTTTTCTATTTTTCTGAATCACTTATTTAATTTGGTGGATATTTGTTCTGTTGGATAGTGTGGGTTTCCACTGTCGAATTGTCTAGTCCTCAGACAGTCTCCTGTCTGAATTGATGAATGGATATTTAAGGTATTCAGCCATCTTTCCTGGAAAGTTTCCCCTTCTCTGCCATCCATGAGAATGGTCAACTCTGATTGATTCCCCTCTGCTTCCCCGGCAACCTTTCTTTTTCCCTATGCTGTGATTACTGCTCTCAGTTCTCCTCTTCTCGTATATCCTTTTTTTCTGTGATCTTCAGAATTATAGTTGGTTTGTGTTCACGTGCTAGAAGGAATAACTAGTCTACTTAGACACTAGTGAATATAAGATAATTTTTTCTTATTGATGTTCCCTACTATCTCTGAATTGTATCAGTTCCCTTAGAGTCTATAGATCTCAGAATAGACATTTTTCTAAGACTTACACTTTCTACTGCTTACTAATTGTTACCACCTGCACATCTCATGTCATTGAGGTTACACCATAATTCAACTCACTTGAATGCCAACCCTTTGCTAGACAGAATACCAAGTACTTTATATTGTTTTCTTCTGGCCTCCTGAAAGTCTTGTCTCCATTCTAAAGAGTTGGAAATATCTGACTTAACATGAGGCTTGCCAAAAATCTGAACGCTCCCTACACGTGGATGCTCAGTCCAACCCAAGAGGCTATAATGTTTTCTCTTCATCTTCTACTCTACTCCCCATCCAACCAAAAATTCAGTTCCTTACTTAGTGATACATCCATCTAGTGAAACAAAAAAATGAAAATCATCCTAAGTTGTTTTTGTTTTACATACACTCTATTTCTTTTTTTTTTCAGTTTATTTCCTATAAATTTCTAAAAAGAGTTCTACCTCTCCTTCCAACAAGACTGCTGGTTCTTTACCTTAAGTTGTCTCTCTCTAGTATGGAATTTCTCCAGTTCTTCCATTTTTATGTTACTTTAATCCACAACAGTCACCAAGTAAAATTTATACCAAGTTTTGCCTTTCTCCCTTCCTGTTTGTACTCTTTTAGTAATCCTACATTATGAGAAATACAAAATTCTTTGAAATGTAGTTCCATTCACCCTATTGCTACTACTTTCTGATGACTTTACTTTAGTCACGCCCTAACAGGTCCTCTACTTTTGTACTTTTATAGCTATCAAGTCTTTCTGTCCAGAACTTCTTCACTTCTTACCTAAATGGAAAACTTATTATTTGGCTCCAAGTTCAATCCAAGTATCATTTCTATCAACTGTTTCTAATTCTTTTTCCCACCATAGTGTGTGGTATTAAATTCTCTGTGAGTTTTAGCTGTGAACAGGTGTTAGACACCTCAGACACTGATCGGGAGAAATAAAACAAATAACCCATGTAAAAATAATCAATTCAGTATCCTCTGTGATAGCTATACAAATATTGGTTTTTTAATCCTCCTTCTTTATGTATCCCCTCAGATAATAATTTCATGTCTGTATCTCCTCTTGGAATTTGAGATTCTTGGAGCAGGGGCTTTGACTTGGTGGCAGAGCTTATCTGGCAAGTGCAAAGTCCAGGTCCTATTCCCATACCACAAAAACTATGTAATAAACAAGGAGTGGTAAAGGAATTCATCATTCTTGGGATCGAGACTTGGTATTCTTTTATACATAATGCCCATTTCAGTTCCCAGTACATATTGGATAGTCGATAATTTTTTAAACCTCATTAATGTTAAAATTAGATTGGTAGAATGAAGCAAAACACTTCTAACTGGTTCCTATTTCTCTCCTTTCTTCAGTGGTGATGAGTTCCTCAACTTCCTTCTGAAGTTAAACAAGCAATGTGGTCATTTAATCACAGCTGTGCAGAATATCATCACTGAGTTGCCTGTAAATTCTCACAAGGTAATTTAGCAAGAGTTGCTCCATGCGAAGTGTGGGTGTTGAAGAATGGGCTAGATGGATTCATGATAACTCATTAGGCAGTTCTGATCTGATAAAGTTCTGTTGGTTGGTCAGTATGAATCCCATCACAATAATTTTGTTGAATATTCTTTTCTATGTCTAATCCATTATAAAAACATGTACTTTCATCCTCAAGCAAAGGGGGAATAAGGGAAACCGTAATCTAAACTCAATCTCTATATTGAAATTGTCATTTGTTGTTAATGAGGATCAGTTGATCAAATTAAAAAGTGTTAGTATAAAAATGAATGTTATTTAAAAATTATATTGACATATAGTTTTTCTTAAGGAAATTTTAAATAGATACTGACTTATAAAAGCAAAGTTTTTTTCTGATTTTGTTTTGCCTGTTTGTCTGGAATGAAAATTTTTAAGCAGACTTATTTTCCTGTGTTAACGTATAATACTAGTCTAAGAATGTCACTTTTTAAATTTTTAAAAACTTATTCATCACAAATCTTGCTAGTATTAATTTCTACATATAAATATATATTTAGGGAATTCATATAGCAAGCTGATTTAACTGTTTGTATAAAGTTACTGACTTTTGTTACCAAGATTTATTATGAACAAAATGGTCAATTATATAATTTAATCTTTTAGAATGTCATAATCTTTGTGCATATAAATTGTGAAAATTTATTTCCATTTTTAATGTAACTTCTGGAAATCTCAACAGATAGTACTAGAGTGGGCTTCTCCCAGAAACTTTACTTCAGTTTGTGAAGAACTGGTTAGTAATGTTGAAGATTTGAATGAAGAGGTCTGCAAGCTGAAGGACTTGATTCAGAAGGTATGTATTTAACATGAGTATGGCGGAAACCTGTCAGAGCACGATGTCAGACAAGGGTAACGGTAGGACACATGGAGAAATAGTAAAGAACAGTTTCCAAAGGGAGAAATGCACATAAGAAACAGGTACTGTTGGGTGTGAAAGAAACACATTAAAAAAAAAAAGACTGTGTGCTTCTTGTGCTTCTGATTAGCAAACAAACATACCACTTTAACACAGCCTTATGCGAAACTGCTTGTACACCCTATAAAATAGTGGTACCTTTTGTTAACAGTTTATTCCAAAATTCTGTGTACCATACAAGGTGTCCTATACAAGGCAGATAAGTTAATAATTGTGGTATGTTTATTTACTAATCTGTACACTCAGGAGCTTGGGTATAGTTTAGAGATAGAGTGTTTGCTTAGGCCCTCGGTTCACAAGAATTGGAAAGCAATGGAAAATAATTGTAATCATTTATTCACTTGTGAAAGACAGATATTACACTATTACTTACCTTTAACTGTACATATGCAAAAAGTCCACATGAAATACTTACTAGTTCTATTAGTGAGATAAAATTGGCATTGAAGTATTACTTCTATTGATCAGACTCATCTTTTACAATTTAACTTTTTAGAATGTAGGCATTTTTTATCTGTCTTTACTTTTATAGGAGCAGTATATGTCTAGATTTAAAGGCAGGTTGTTTTCCCCTTTAAAAAAATTATCAGTACAAGGTGCAAGCTACTAAAATAGCAGCCTTTATTGACTCTGGAAAATAAAGGGAAACACTCCAAGTTTCCTAAAAGACTCACTCTGAGTCCCTGTCAATTTAATAAATAAGTTTAATAGCTACAAAACTTTTGAAATACATCTGACTTTTATAGCTTCAGCATAAGATTCATTTAATATTTTCACCAATATCTTACAAAAGAATTTGAAGGCAAACTTCATGTTCAAGGTAATTTATCATCTCCCTTATTAAAATATATTTAATCAGAAGTCTTTTAAATCCAGAACAAAGTTGTGAAGCAAATGTAACACCCTTCATTTTCACTTCCTCCATCTCATCTCAAATGGAAGGAAAGTGGAATTACTTTTATTCAACATGAAGTTCTTCATGAAAATCCATGGAAAAATAGAAAAATTTGTATATGGAGAGTTCCTTGAAAGCATCACTTTAAATGTAGAAAATTCCTGAAAACATACTTTTGTGGCAGGAGTGGATACTAATTTGGGTTTTAAGCTTTTGGCAGCACAAAATTCACTAGTAGGAACTTTTCAAAAAAGTATACGAGTTATCACAGATAAGTGTATTGCAGTAACAAAGAGAGGGTAGGAGAGGTCAAGGCTAGCCTTTAACACCACATCATTCTCTTTCAAACCAACACACTGACAAGTCTTGTTAGGAAGGGTCATCGGTTAATAAAGGAATGGCTGTCTCAGGATTCAGTAAATGGAGCATCAGTGTCAAAAAAGAATCTGTTGCTGAATGAAGCCATTTGGAAGTTAAACCAAGATTACGGTCTTAATGAGATTGGCATCAAAGTTCATTTTTCTAGTATGAATTTGAAATTAATTTTGTAGACTTTTAAATTAAATATTTACACTGTAGAATTTCAAAGTCTTTATTCCTGCTATTGTTGAAAGTATTTCTATCGTCACCCTAGTGCAGGATGTTTCTAGTAAATATCACTCCATGAATGTGTCCAGTTCTTTTTATCTTTTAAATATCTTTTGCTTTCTGCTTATTCTCCTTCTCTTGACCCACCCCAGCAGCTATCTCTCACCTTTTCCCCACCTCCACACCCGCCACCAACACACACACTGGTGGGAGGCTGCTTCACAGAAAATGTCTCTGTGGGGGTTTAGACACAATCTAGGAAATCAACTCTCATTGCTGAGAACTGATTCATGAAGCACTTAGACCCTTAGATGCAATTGCTCCTGCAGTAACAATGCACTGCCTTCTGATTTTTACTGAGCTGGTATTGTAGATTTGCCATAAGAATAGATCTGCCTTTTATGGGCTGCCTTTAATACAGAAGGAAATAAATTCCAGTTGTTATTCATTATAGGTAAAATAGAAACTTCAAGTTGACATGAAAGGAACTTTGTCCCGTGACACAAAAAGCACCATTTTAAAGTGTGATAATCTATGAAAGTATTTATTATGACTGTAAAAGTGATAATCACCCAGGAAATACACTGGTAAAGGCATATATGTTCACTTTAAATCTGTCTGTCATGGAGTTTTGAATTCTTTCTATCTAATTCCGGTGAATTAATATGAACTTTTTAAATTTTCAGTATCTTGTCTACTAACTCTTGTTTTTCATGCTAAAAATCAGATGCAGAATGAACGGGAAAATGATCCAACTCATATCCCATTAGTAGAGGAAGTGTCTACGTGGAAGAGTCGAATTTTGAAGAGGTCGGCAGTTACAGTCTGTGGATTTGGGCTGCTGATTTTCATCTGCAAGCTAACTTGCCAGAGAAAATAATTCTAATATTTATCCAAGTTATATATGTACATCTTATTCAGAATGTCACAGCATTACTTTTGATCTTTTATTGTACAGCATAGCTTTATTTCCTTGCCCACACTCCATAGGAAAAATTATGATAACATAAACAGAGTTTTTCTTTAGAAAGTGACTTCAGTTTGAATTATACAGTTTATTACATTCTTATGTTAATTTCAATCAAGAAAATTATGGATAATTCTTTCATTTAAGCCTGACTAAATCACATGCAGAATAAACATTTGATATTCTTTACATTTGAAGAAAGTGTGCTCACTTGTCATAAAGAAGCTTAAGAGTATCTGTGAAGAGTTCATAAGTTGATATTCCTTCTAGGCCTTATTCCCATCTGTTTTTATATAATAAGGATCATCTTACTGCTTTTTTATTTATATGCCTTTGCTAAAGAAATTATGAATTATTATGAAAGTATCAGAGAAGACAAAAGGTAATAGTAAAATGTGAAAATCTTTATAAATACTTTTTAAAAAGTATTTTACAGTCAGAATAAAAAATCTAGAAAAAGTAAGGCACAAAATACACTAGCATTTTTATGTAAAGTATTTTTGCTGAATATCCTATATATAGTCTTTTAGGTATATTATGAAAGCGAATGTCTTTTGGTATATAATTTCTTGCCTTTAAAGTGCTTAAAGTTGTATTTTTTCAATTTGATATACTGACATTCAAATTTTAAAAGTGAAATGTAAAACAGGCAGGTACCATTTAGTAGGTAGTATGGTATCCAAGACTCAGTTGACTTAGTGCTGTACTGGAAACGTCAGTTTTCTGTAGTTAGGAGCTGACAGCAAGCGAAGGGGAAGAAGTTGAGGATGAGAGACGAGCATAAGGACTAATGAGTAGCAGTTTCTGCCCATTCCTAATACCAGAGCTGCTAGATTCAAACCAGCATTTTGCAGAGGCATCAGTTGTGTGTCATTGGAAGGTAATTACATGGCAAAAGGCACCTAACACTCAACTGTTCCAGCAAACATCCTGTAACATGTATGTTACATGTAACAAGCATGTTGTGATATCTCCTATTTAAGCCAGTTCAAGACATAGACAGAAACATGGGAACTTGTTTTAATAGATGGTGTATCACTCCCAACAAGAAGTTATTTAGTACACATTACTTTTATTTTCCTTTTAAAAATAAAAGTATGAAAGTGACAGGCATCCTACCTGATAAACCACTCGGTGGTCTTTTATTTCGGTGTACTTTAAGAAGAATGCTCTTTCTTCTGGGGGGGGGGGGGTACCACTGCTTTTTCCTAACAAAATCAAGTTCAGTATTTAGCCATCAGATGTGAATTTACATGACTTGTTTTCCAGAGTTTATCATAGAATTCTTTACAGTGAAGTACTCTGTCCCAGTTTTCTTCAGATGAAAGGAAATAGATACTATAAATTTAGTGCCAGGCACGCATCTTCTAAAAGCCTTATTCCTGTCTTGAAAAATACACTGTGATTTTCAGATTATAGACTAAAAATAATTAGGGTATCCTTTTGTACTTATTGAAATTACTTCTCCAGTTAAAGTATCAATAAAATTAATAAATATTTCCTTATGATTTAGAATCAGTTGAAATCTAAAATGTAATTCCCACTCTGATTAGTTGACTTTATGGGCTTAAGGCAGTGGAAATCATTACTCCTGGAATAGGTAACTACTAAGTGCCTTCTTCAATTACAGAGACAGATGTCATTGGGAATTATTTTAGTCTGAATCAGAAAGTGTCCCTGTTTTTGGAACCAATTTGGGGATTGTAGCCACTTGCTGAAATGAAGTGTCTGAAGAGGATGTACACTTCCCCTCAGTTTGTGGATAAAACACCATGATCAAAAGCAACTTGGGAAACAAAGACTTTATTTCCACTTAGAACTCTCAGGTCACACTCCATCACTGAGGGAAGCCAGGGCAGGACCTGGAGGCAGGAGCTGAAGCAGAAGCCAAAAGGGGGTGCTTCTTATTGGCTTGATCCCCATGGCTTGTTCAGCCTGCTTTCTTAGAGCTCTCAGGACCACCAGCCCAGGAGTGCTACCTCCCACAGTGATCTGGGCTCTCCCATATCCATCAATCAAAAAACTACACCACAGGCTTGCCCACAGTCCATCTGATTTCTTCCAAAATGCCAAAATGACTCCAGCTAATGTCAAGTTGACATAGAACTAACCAACACCCTTGCTCCTACCTTACTACCTCCACGTCTAAGACAGATGTGTTGTCCCCAGCACGTGAGTTACTGGTTCCTTCTGCTCCCTGGCTGCCATAAACAGAGCAGCTTTGCCCTGTCTGCATTCTCAACCGTGATGTTTTACCTTGCCTCAGGCTGAAAGCAATAGAGCCAAATCTCTGGAACTGTTGGCCAAAAATATTTTGCCCTTTAATTTTTTGCTCAGGTATTTTGTCATAGTCTTGGGAAATCTAACACAGGAGAGAAAAAAAGAATTGGAATTGGATATACACCATCTGACCATATGAAGTTCAGAGAAGTTTAGAGAAAGCAGCTACAAAAAACTCAAAGGCAGCAGAGCTTGGCTGGCAGTTTTGGTGGGAGCCAATAAGACCAGATTTGCCGATAAACATGCAAAGAGTAAAGACTGTAAAGGCTTTGCTTACAAGGTTCCACAGGGCAATGAGAACTCTATTGTGGATTGCCATTTGTAGTAATTTTGGAAAAGAACTTAACATTTTACCCGTATCCCCAAGACTGGAGATTAGTTTAATATGGGCTAGTGTGTCTGCTTGAAGCAGTTTCAAGATGACAGTGGACAAGCTGTAGTACAGATACCTGTGAGAATTGTGAGCAGAAAGCCAATGAGAAAGAGTCGAGGTGGGGGGAGTTGTGTGTTGACCCGAAAGGGGCATGTAAAGTTGAGGCCAGGTATTTTTGCTGAGAAATTAGTCACCACAGAGAAACCAGAATAGCAGGAAAGAGGAAGCGTTGTCCTGGCCCACTATTGTAGACTCGTGGAAAAGTATCTAAAACTTTGCTTTGAGAGTGCAGCGCATGGATGCCCTGCTCACACAGAACTGCCCAGGGTGATTTCCCACCCCCACAGCCCCCCAAATTCAGCCCTCCAGGCCCTCAGACACTTCTGTAGTAATGGCCCAAAGCCCAGCTACTGCCTGAGTGGGTGGCCAAGCAACATCCATGTGATACTTTGTTTACAGGCATACAGAATACATGAGCTGCACGAGCGACCCCTCAGATTTCAAAGGAACTCTGGGAGGCCAAGCAGCATATGCCAGGATCAGAGTACCTAATGGAAATATGGGAGACTTGTATGTGAAGTCAGGCCTGCAAGGGAGACACCACAAGTCAGAAATCCTAGGAGAAACTGTAGATTGCCACATGGGCTACAGTGAACATAGTCATCAGGCAAGAACACTTTTTCAGAAGTTTGCTCATGTCCTAATTCTTTTTTTTCTTTTATTTATTTATTTATTAAAGATTTCTGTCTCTTCCCCCCAGCCGCCTCCCCTTTCCCTCCCCCTCCCCCAACCAAGTCCCCCTCCCTTGTCAGCCCAAAGAGCAATCAGGGTTCCCTGCTCTGTGGGAAGTCCAAGGACCACCCACCTCCATCCAGGTCTAGTAAGGTGAGCATCCAAACTGCCTAGGCTCCCACAAAACCAATAGGTGCAGTAGGATCAAAAACCTATTGCCATTGTTCTTGAGGTCTCAGAACAATGTCCTCATTGTCCGCTATGTTCAGTGAGACCCGTTTTAACCCAGGCTTTTTCAGACCCAGGCCAGCTGGCCTTGGTGAGTTCCTGATAGAACATCCCCATTGTCTCAGTGTATGGGTGCACCCCTCGCGGTCCTGAGTTCCTTGCTAGGGCTCTCTCTCCTTCTGTTCCTGATTTGGACCTTGAGATCAGTCCGGTGCTCCAATGTGGGTCTATTCTTTCCCAGAGTCCCTTCTCATAATTGGGAGACATCTTCTACCCTTTCTAATTTTAACAGCCACCATTTGCCCCTTGTTGTGCTTATAAAAATTTCTTTTCTGTTAGTTTTTTTTTTTTTTCAAAGAGCCACCTTTGGGTCATGGTCACTTTTCTCTTGTTCGTATGTTTTCTTATTTCCTTGGTTACCTTAGTCTTTCTTATATACATTCTTGTGCTTGGTTTGGGTTTAATTTGCTCTTTTTCCAGGGTCTTTTCCATGGAAACTTGGTGTTGATTTGGAGCAACTGATAGCTTTTAGCATTGGTACTTATACAACTTCAAGTCTCCAACTACTCATTTATTTGGATTCCAGGTGTTTGCATGTTGTAGCTTCATTTTTTTTAATGAAAGTATTTTTAAACATCGAAACATTCTTAATGTAAGATTTTTGTTAATCTGATAAAATAGTGAAAATTCTAAGAGTAACTTTAAAACACTCAGTTTTAACATATATGTATATACGTGTATGTATTTGTGTGTTGTGTGTTTAGCATATATGTATGTGTCTGCTAAAATACTATATGAGGCTTAGGTAAGTGGTAGGCAAAGAAAAACTCATTTCTAAAGGCTGTCCTGTGTAAATTATTTCAATTAAAGTCTGATTTAAGTGTTAATTCAATGTGATAAAGTGTTTAGAAAACAAAGCCAGCCATGCTTTCAAGTACAAAAATTAAAATTGAGTGTTTTTTTTAATGGGAAGTTTTATAGGGCCAGAATTTGTTTGATCTTAACACTACAGTGACTGTTAATCTTTGAGAACCTAGATAACCATGATGGCTTCTGTTTTGCACTCCAAGTCCCTCTGTCACTGCCTAATAAATAATAATTTGTGGCTCTGAGGGGGTGGAAATAGGGTGGGGATTTTTTTGTTGGCACATCCACTAGTGAGTAATGCATTCACTTCAAGTGCCAACAAAAATGTTAACTGGACTTAGTGACACATTTGCTAGTTATTAGAGAAACGAATTCTAAACTGTTTGAGCAGTGCTTTATTTGTCTACCTGTAAATGCAGATTGCCTTATCAGTGCCCTCAACAAAAATGGGCCTGGTTTTCGTTCTGCAGCAAATTTCTATGAAGAATTTTAAGAATGCACCATCTCTGGGCTTACTCCACTAGCTAATGTTTCAATCATTTTCTTTTGGTTTTTGCTTTTGTTTTTGTTTTTGTTTGTTTTTGAGAAAGTGTTTCTCTGTACCTTTGGGGCCTGTCCTGGAACTAGCTCTTTTTTACTGACTTTTTATTGAGCTCTCCATTTTCTCTGCTCCCCTCCCTTCC